ATTAATAACAATATTAATAACAATAATAATAACAATATAATAATAATAATAATAACAATAATAATAACAATAATAATGATAATGATAATGATAATAATAATGATAATAATAATAATAAAAGAAAAAAGGCTTACATAAATAGAGGAACATAACTCCCCTAACGATTTCATATAAAAAGCACGACCGATCCAACAGAAATGACACCCACATCATATACAATGATATTTTAGACCCATAACAACACAATCAGAATCTATCCCTGGGCATCATACGACTCTGTGCGCCCCGCATGGAGATCACGTGTGAGGCTGCCATGAGGGAAGAAGGCCACGCATGCCTTGTCAGGATCATGAGCTGTGCCATGAGCGTGGAATTCCACTGGGCACTGAGCGTCGTGCCCTTGCAGCGTGGCAAGCCAGCCACACGACTCTCAGTGCGATGAACGAACTCAAAAATAAGAAAAGATTTTTTTTTTTGGTTTATTGTTCACGCAGCGTGACACAGAGGCAGAGTGCCACAGGCGAGAGAGCGCAGGGGGTGGGGGTGCCAAGGGAGGTGCCATTTCGGCGCAGTGCCCAGTTCCCACGTCCCTGGAGCGGAGGAGAGGCCCTCCATCACCTGCTGATTGGGTGAGTGAGTGTCAGAGAGCAGTGGCTCAGTGGCACCGCCAAGGCCCATCTTGGCACTCCATGGCCGCCCGGAGCCGCGCTCATGGTGCCACTCGCCGCTTCCTCATCACCCTCGTCCTGGACCGCCGGTTATCCGCTGGCCCCTCCCCCTCCTACCTCCCTCCCTGCCAGCGGACCTCACAAACGCACTGGCACTGGCGGGGACCACGGCCATCGAGACAAGCGCAAACGGAAACACACGCTTTACATCAACTGAATTGATATCAATAGTCATAAAACAAATAAATATACATAGGCTCTATATGTGTGTGTGCGTGCGTGCGTCCGTGTGTGTGTGTGTGTAAGTGTGTGGGTGGGTGCGTGCGTGCGTGTACACGAGTGTGAGCGTGCGTATACTACGTCTAAACACATACATACCCAAAACACATCTCCCTTCCCCGCGGCCGCCGCCCCGTCACCTACGCAATCAGTGTCCTCCCGCCAATCAAGATCCGCCACGTCACGTCAGCCTTTCCATTCATCCTGTATCTAAACACATGCATTACTCTCCCCCCCCCCCCCCGCCCTGGACAACTGCACTCTGCCAAAGCCCACCACCACCATTTCCTTCTTTCTCCCGCCACAGCCCACCCGAGGCCATTCCTTCGTATCTGCTTTATATCCGGTGATACGAGGCGGAGAAGCACTGCTATCAACCCCGCCAAAGGTCATGGCGTAAAAAAGGTGGTGGATTGCACGTAGGAGGGTGGTCGTTGGTGGTCGTGCGTGGGGGGAGGGGAGGGCGTGAATGGGGAGTGGGGTAAGAGAGGGGGAGGGGGAACTCGGGCTGCGTGACGACCACGTGTAGTGTGGTATCATGTTTACACTCATCAGCTGAGACCGCACCGTGGCTCTCGTCCTACACCATTTCGAAGTAGTCGTGCTTAAAACACCCAAGTAGTCGTACTGAGACGTCAGTGGTCGTACTGACACACCAGAGAACACTCGCGCCGAAACACCTTCCGAAGCAATATATCAATAACCCGTTAAGTCAAACATGGCAAGAGAAAGTCCCCCAAAAGGGAAGCGCAGCGATCCCGAGACACAACACAAAGACAGCGCGACAATGTTCCTTTAGCCGAGCGACCCCGGATGCGCAGGTCAAAGGCGGCGCAGGGGTTCGTGGAGTCACAAGCACCAGCGAGCGAGAGGAACAGGGACAGGGGCAAGAAAAGGGAGAGAGGCAGGATGATAGACAAGGAGAGGGACAGGGAGAGAGAGAGGAGGGGGGAGAGGGACATGGACACAGAAGCAAGCTAGTCGAGTCGAGCATTCTATAACATGTTGCAAGGGATGTGGAAGTCATGCAAACTCTCGAGGTGGAAGCGGACGACGAGACGCAGCTTATTAGCATGCAGGTGTACGTCATCCGGTGGCCGATGCAGTCATCAGCCTTCGCGGTTCTTGACGCGGTGGACAGGCCGCCCAGACGCTAGTACAGTCCACGGCAAAACTCCTATCACAACCTCTCCTAAACCTTCTCTATAATATCGGTTTATTTCGGTAATCAAACACACTTTTCTGATATTCTTGACGTGAAGCAGGCTGTGCGTACGTGAATATACAAAGGTGTCAGCGCAGAGAAAAGTGCACGGGCTGTCCTCTGCCAGTGGCCCAACTCGTGCAGTGTTGGGGCCTCAAGGTCACACGCCTGAGTAAGGCCAGTCCCCTCCTCCTTACCTCCTTATTCGCCTCTCCCCCTCCTCCCTCTCCCCGCCTCCTGCGCCAGAGATTCTCCTCCCGAGGAAAACAAAACCTTAAAAGATATTTGCAGCTGAACTATGCAGCCTTACCAATGATCCTACCCATGCCCTACTTACCTGCACCTCCCTGTAAAACTTTTCTTACATAAAAACAAACCGAAGACCACTTGCCACCAGTGCATTTCTGCAGTGTCGATCGAGTCCACATCATCATCTTGAATCCACGCCAGATTACCCCCCTCCCCTCCACCCCCCCCCCGCAAAAAAACATCGCATTCACGCCGAATAAAAGTAGCTGCGACAATCTCAGAATGAAACCGAAAGCAGCCAGCCTTGTAAGCCTTCATGACTCCGCCACCTGAGTGTCAAAGTCTCGGAGATGCGTCACGTGGGAGGCCCAGCAGAGACCTACAAGGGGATGGCGTTGGTTATACTCGCGCGAGAAGAAAAACGGAGAAAACACTTGCGAATATATCGTGTTGTATGACACACTGTACTTGGGCAAGAGAGAGAAAAAAAGATAACACTTGTCAATGTATCTTGTATAACACAGTACTTGGGCGAGGGGAAAAAAGAGAACACGCGCAAAAATATTTAATGTTTGATAAGTTATATTGCTCTATATACCTATTCGTACAATACACGACATACACCCTTCACCTTGACGAGGTTGAATGTGTATGTATATATGTGTGTATATATATATATATATATATATATATATATATATATATATATATATATATATATATATATATGTGTGTGTGTGTGTGTGTGTGTGTGTGTGTGTGTGTGTGTGTGTGTGTGTGTGTGTGTGTGTGTGTGTGTGTGTGTGTGTGTGTGTGTGTGTGTGTGTGTGTGTGTGTGTGTGTGTGTGTGCATTTACATATATGTTTATGTTTGTTTGCGAGTGTATGGGTGTTTATGTGTGTTTGTATGTGTTTGATGTATTAGTGTGATTGTGTAAGTTTGTTTGCTTATGCGCGTGCTGAATTGTTTACGTGTGTTTGTTTATGCGTTTGTGTGCTTATATTTGTGTGTGTGTTTGTTTATGCTTTTGCGTATGTGTTTGTTTCTGTTTATTTGTTCATTTGTTTTTTATGCGCGCGATTGTGTGCGTGGGAGGGAGAGAGAGGGAGGGAGGAAGAGAGGGAGGGAGGGAGGGAGAGAGGGAGGGAGAGGAGAGAGAGAGAGAGAGAGAGAGAGAGAGAGAGAGAGAGAGAGAGGGAGGGAGGGAGGGAGGAGGGAGGGAGGGAGGGAGGGGGAGAGAGAGAGAGAGAGAGAGAGAGAGAGAGAGAGAGAGAGAGAGAGAGAGAGAGAGAGAGAGAGAGAGAGAGAGAGAGAGAGAGAGAGAGAGAGAGAGTATGGTTATGATTTTCATGTTGTTCCATATTCACTATCAACCTGGCTTGGAATACAGCAAGTCGTCATAGTAGGATGTAATTACTGAAGCTCGCGAAAATACACGTAAATACTCAAGAGGGGCAGTATACGATACTGCCCCTCTTGAGTGAATTATTATTCCTTAACAAAACTCAACGACACCAACCATTCTAGTCTAAAAACAGTCACAAGATACACATATTCATAAATATTGTGCGTGAGCGTGTATTTCTATGGATATTTATGCACACAGGCATGTGTACGTGTACATATACAGGAAAGCAAACAGACACACGCACGTAAACTGAACGAAATATACAGCAATTCACAAAAAATACGCACATTACATTACACTAAACATGCAGTCAACATTACAGTAATACACTGTCTTCACAAAACATAAAAACAAAATTCCCAAACAAGATGATGTCAACCCAACTCCGTGTAACACTAAACCGAACCTCCTTTTAACCAACATCAATGTTTACTGATAAAATTTAATCGATTTATTCCCATTTAACATCATCACAATGGTTGTTTAATACCGTATTTGGTTATCGTTTCATCAGGAAATGATTTACAGGAAGTTTATTTGGAACTTCTCGAGAGAAGGGATGAAAGTGAAGTTTACACCACGTCAAAAAGTTCTACAAACTTGGTCTTCAAATTCGTCCAATAACTTTTCTTTCATTCCATTTGGCCACATTCTGGACACTAGAAGGGGAGAAAGAATTCCGCTGAGTGGCACTAGTATCACGACTGACCAAAGGACGTGGCACTGACCCCGAACTTGGCTAGGGAATCGCAGCAATAAATGAAAAAAGTTCCTAAGGGGCAGTCTCGCCGCGGCCAAAACGGAGGAAGAACTTGAGTGTCGCGGCTTCACTACAACTTTTCAAAACCTTTCGGGATATTTCTTCGGCCTTCGCGGATGCTCTGGCATTCTGGATGTGCTTCCGGTCGCTCGTGTCGTCATGAGAGGACTCCAGGATCACTTACCAGAGGAGATGAGGCACAGCGGGCGAAGGTCTCTTACGAAAATCCTTCAGAGAAGAGAATACACAACCTCACGCCGCGAATGCAAGCTCTCGACTGACCCATCGGCGCACCAGCAAGTATAAGCGCCGTGGTCACTCTATAAGGAAAATGAAACTAAACAAAAGAGCATCGCTTAGCTCGAATATTTAGATTCGCATAACGAATCCAACACTATATCACATTCCTGATTGGATACCAGCACCTCCACTTCCACCGAACTTCGGATCTTTATTTCGCCAAATGTAAATACAGAATCTATCCTGTCAACATGTCAAGGAAGGAGTGAATTGACCGACCTAAGGATATAGGCAAAGGACGAAGGAAGAGACTAATATCCCAGCCTGCAAAGTGCCCACCAGTGCCAGGGACAGAAGGAGCAGGATACGAGAATAGGAGTGCGTCTGCGCCCGAGACCAGAAGAGCAGAAGAGCCCTGAGAGGAAGGCGTGAGTGAGACCTCCCAGCTCCTTCTCGCCCGTGTCTCGCTCTCCTTTTTTCTTGACATCTCGGGCCTTGTCTGGGCTTGACAGGTGAGGATTCCGCTTCACAAAGCCCTTGACTTCACTGTGGTAACGAGTTATATAAGTGCAGGTAAAGAGGGTGGCACTGCACTACCGGCACCCGAGTTGTATTTTTACCTGTTAACAGTGACAATGTGACTAATTTAGAATGACCTGTCATCATAGGGGTCAACGTGCTGCTTACTCATGTTGAAGCATGAGATCATCTCGGGTTAATTTTACATGTTAGAAACCAAGGTGCTGTAAAGTCCATTATGTAAATTAAGTTAATGTAAAACCTAATATACATTGACCTGTCACTGTGGAGGTTCATTCTTGCTTACTCTTTTAACAGTAGGTGATTATTAGGTGAATATTCATTTGATTATGTTTGAAAAGTTCTATATTTTTTTGGCCATGTGATTGTCACAGTGTCACATGACCTTTATTAGTTAGTTTCCTGCACAAGAGGATTCATGTTTTGTCTGGAGAGAAAATCAATAAGCGTGAAAAAATATAGAAAAAGAAGTCATCTAATTTTATATCATTTGCCACCAATCAACCAAGGTAAAAAGTGCATTACTGCGGTAGATCTATGATTTTTTAAAGTGTGATATGCTCTAACTTTTAGTTCCTTACACTTTAAACTTATTGAGATTAAGATAGAGAATTTTCAGACATGTCTTATTTAGGATATATCTGGAGTATATGTTAAATGGTAATTTATTTGATGATATAGATAACCTAGTCAATAATGTTAGTCAAATGATCATTGTTCATGCTCTATTATTATGTTGGCAAGATAGAGCTTGGACTGGTTCCTCATTATAATGATAAATTACCTGGGAGTTCTACAAAAGCAGTCCAATGTCTTCAGTATCTATAATTCATACACACTGATATCCATGTCATAGCATGAATTCTGAATTCTGTAAAAAATATTATATAGATATAGTGGTTATTGGGATTAGCTTGTTCAAATATAACATATCCCACAAAAGGTTTTAACTTGCAATTTGTGACAGAAATGGCATTGATGAATATAAATTCCTTGTATTATTTACTTTCTAATGATGGTTAGCACTTATATATTGTAATATTATATCTTTTTGTAATATTTCAAAATGTGAAATATTGGAACCCTAAAGTCTGCAACATCTGTTGACAAAAATCACAAAATAAAAACTACAGTGCACTGTGCAAAGGGGCAATATACCATCCAAGAACAAGGTAATTGACATCTATGTGTTCACAAGACTTTTGGTATGGGTGGGCATAAATTTATGGTTTACAGTAAGTGGAAGTTTTCCTTGATATTATGTAGGCCTGATATTATTTTTCGGTTAAAATTCAATACTATGATTGATGTTAGTCTCAGTTGCACTTCCCTTGTAAATTTTGAGGGGTTTAGGGGAAGGACTTTCTTTCCTGCCATAGTGAATTGCCTTTGACTTGTTGGTTGCATGTAGTTATCATTTTTATTTCTTTGATGTTATTGACTTTCCTGCTATTTCTGATATACCTATTTATTTTATTATTCAGCTGTAAATTCATGCAATGTATTAGATAATATGACTGATGATAAAACTGTGCTCTTAATCATAAACATTTTGAATTTATAATATGATTTGAGATATTACTGCTATATGGAACTTGGTAGGAGACTAAGTCAATAGTTGCAGATTTTGGGTGACATATATATCACAAAATCAAGGGAGATTAAGTGACTGCTGAAGAGAACCTTATGAATTTTTTGTAGTTTATGGAATATATGCATGTGTGTTGAGAGTGGCAGTGATAAAGCTTGTTCGCATGAAGATGGTGAGATAGAAATATGTGGTTGCAGATGATTATATAAGATGAAAATTAAAATTTCAATGGTTAGTCGTTAGCAGTAGTAAGTAGGTCATCTCTTGAGATTGATACAGAAAAAAATATTACCACAGATTATAGGAGAAAAATGTTAATGCATTATTTGAGAAGAAAGAATAAAAAGAGATTGAATAATGAAGTATTATGATTTGAAATGTTCATGATGACCTTCATAATAGTATAGAAGCCACACCAGGAAGATAGAAGGATTTTTCCTTAAATCACATTTTGAGTGTGTCAGTTTTGGTAGATGAATGACAATGACTTGCTTACAAATTTCCTTGTATTTCCCGTACATTGTGAACATAAGCACAGTCTGTTTATGGTTACCAAAGAAAGGACATTGTAATAAGACAAGCAACAGGAACAGTGGAATTAGGAACTAGATATACAGTTGAAGAAAGAATAGAAGGTTACAGAATTTAAAGCAAGTGCAAAGCATTTGGAAAATAGATATTTATCTATCATATCATGTTTCTGAGTATATGATAGGTAATATTCTTCTTGTTTTCATTTGTTTTTTATTTATTTATTAATTTTGTATTTACTATTATATATTTCTTTTTCTGTGTTGCCACAAATATTTATATTTTTTGTATAGATTTACTTGTTTTCTCTTGCATTTATAATAAGCATCATGTTTTTCCCATTATTTCAGTCACAAAAACAAGATGCTGCGCTCGTTGTATGCTTACAAGGGAACTCATGCCCGTACACTTGGATTCCAAGTGGGCGACAAGTTCATGGAGATTGGTCCTTCGAGAGATCCTAATTGGCTGCATGTGATTAATGAACGAGGTTCTGTGGGATACGTCCCCAAGAATTATATATCTGCAGATGAGGTAAAGGATGTGAAAGTTCATCGAAAATTGTAAAAAAGACCATGATTTTGTGTATTTTGTGGATGTTTTGAGATTAAGTGAAATTCTTTGAATCAGGTAAGTAGGACATTCTCTACTTCTCTCTTTCTTTTTATCTTGTGATTTTGAGACTTCTCTTAGTAATAACATGGTGGTTAGTTGGCCTTGTTATTAGGATTATTTGTAGTTTTTATATGGATATGTTTCGGGGTTTTCTTTTCTGTTTTTTACTTCTTACTTTTTGCTTTTAATAAACTTACTTACTGGAGAAATAGTCCAGCTTATATTGCCTGACTATGATCTCTTGATTTCCACTTAGCAAAGTTTCTTGAATAGTTTATTTTAATTTTGTTCTTCTGTCTGGTAAAATGCCTAGTAAAGAAATACATGCTTATTATTTTTTAACAATCTGGGTATTGCTTCATTGGAAAAATTATTTATTTTTCATGTGTTCTTTTTCTGTTTAACTCATTTTTTTTTTCTTTTGTTTCTTTCCTTATCATCTTCCTTGTTCTCAACTTCCGTCCTGGGCAGGGATATGTACGAGGGCAACCATGCCAGCAAGAAGACCCTGCACAGGAATCAGAGGTAATAAGTGTTGAGATATGGAGTTTGTTTAGATGTAATGCTTATATTTTGAGAAAACTTTATTATTCTTATTATTGGTGTTATTATTATCATTATTATTACCTCCACCAAGGAGGTTATGTTTTCAGTAGCATTGGTTTGTTAATTAGTTTGTTGGTTATCAGTATAACTCGAAAAGTTATGAACAGATTTTTATTAAATTTTTACCAACAGTGTATTTTTGCCCAACTTAGATGCTAAAGTAAAATGATGAGTTATCCTGCACAGAATCTGGATCATGATTCAGATCCTGTGCAGGATCAGCTCTCTGATGATTATTAATTTAGATTTTTATTTTATTATTGTTATTATGTTAATTGTTATTATTATCATTGTTATTAATGTAGTTATTATTATTGTTAATATTATTTTTGTCATTATTACTGTTATTTTGTTGTTATTTGCTTCAAGTTTATTTTTCTTCATCTTTTACTCTTACAATCACATATTTTTGCATGCCTCTGATAGCTCTGTATTTAATAACTAAACAACTACATCTCAATGCTATCATGATAATGATATGCCTTAAGATTATGATGAGGATGATAATAAGTCATAAACAGTAATTATGACTTACATTCTGAAATTATTTATGCCGTCTGTCATTATTATTTACAGAAAACCAACCCATTTTAATGTACTTTCAAGAAATTTATGAAATATGAGAAATATTTTGAAATCAGCCAAAAATGATTATTGCCATTGACATCAGTCAGTTTTGTATTAATGTTCTGTAACTCATTAAGAACATGATGGAAAGTAAAAAACAGGAGAACCTTAATGTTTTTTTATAATTTTTTTATCAACAGCAAATTCACCTTAATTATCAACTAATGAGTCCTTTGGTTATTTCTTTGGCATGACAGATTGTTTGGGGTTCACTTGGATTTTGCTCTTGTCTCTGTTTGTATTATGATATTGCTTGAAGATATTTTATACTTCCATTTGTTGTTTTAGAGGCAAAAACAGCACAACTTCATAAAAGAAGAAAATAAGTTTAAAAATATATATCAGGCATGCTTTCGTCTAAAACAAATTGGCTAGCCTCATTAAAGTTGCTATTCATTTTCAGGCTCCGCCCATTGATATACTTGAGTTTATTGACGGTTGCATTGAAGCCATTCATTTAAATGCAAGTGAACGAGGTGGCAACTATACTCGTGGCGAGCATGATGCCCTCCACAAGCTTGTAGAATTGAGACAGGATTGGTACAGCAAGTGTCCTCCATCCTCGCATCCTACTAAGCGTCCTGCTCCTCCACCGCCACAAGTGAGTGTATTTCATTATAAGTATACTATAACAGGATGATTTTAAAAGACAGATACTCCTAAAATTTTAAGAAGGAGCCCATTTAAGGTATTGACATTTTTGATACAAAGTTATGAAGTGACTCTTTATGCTGAATTCAACAACTTTCAGATATTCAATACATTGCAGTAGGCAAATTCTTGTCATTTGCCCCAAAAAATGATTTCCATTAATGTTAGCAAGCTGTCCAACTATAGGCGTATGTATTAAACATCCAATTTGCTGTATCTAACTCATAGACATTCATTACAAAATTGTGCAATAGTACTGGTATCCTGAACAGATTTCACTCAATAAGATTTCCAGAGTATATCGTTTGTAATGCTGCTGTATATTGTTTTTTTATTATAATACGGTCATTATTTCCTGCCTTCACATTCTTAAGAACATCAGTGGATACTTCCATCGAGTAGTTGTTTACTGAGATATGGATATATTATGTAAATACTGAATCCTCATCAAGAATGAACAGAAGAGAGTTCCTTTCTTTCCTACAATAACATTTGCAGCGTACGACGTCTCAGCTCAGTGTAGACAGTGTTGGCAGCCTACCATCCCCATGTCTCCCGGGAACTCCACGCAGCCCTTCAATATCAGCAAGTGGGTCATCAATTAGCTTAGGGCCCCCACCCAAAGAAGCAACACCAACAGAATCTTCCGCTGAAACTACTACCAGCTTCATGGCTCGAGGAGAATCTCTCGGTACTACATTCTGTGTGTTTTTGTGGTCTTCTTTCTCCTCCTTTTTACTTACTGGATATAAATTGGGAGATTGGTGTATTACATTATTAGTGTGGATGACTTAACTGGTTCTGTATTGTATTTTTTTGCTAAAACTACCCATTTTTTATATGTCCTCCATTGTTTTACCCAGTCACAGTGTCAGAGTTTTCCATCAGACTTGTACTAAATAGAAAGGAATTTTATGTGTAAGTACAGATGTATATTTTATTCATTATAAGATATATCCACACCTACTTCCAAGTGGATGTTTCAGTGATGCAGAAGTAGATTATTGTAAATACTTTTGTCAGTCTTCTGATAATAGACACAGATATAAATGTACTCTTGAGAATGAATAAAGATATTGTATTATGATGAAAAGTTGTAGCAGGTATTGTCACTGTATGAAAGAATTTTTAACCAAGAGAAGGCAGACAAGGATATGAAAGGGCTGATTCCTGTTGCCATCAATTTACTGAAAGACTTTCCTGTGTATCTGTACTCATTTTAGACACACTGAAATATTATTAGGCTATTTAACATGTTACATGTCTTTTGTTTTGTAGTTCGAGATGAGAGCAGTGGAAGCAGCGAAGGTCATGATACTAGTATAGGTTACGAATCAGAAATGAGAAGTGACGTAGATTCAGTGGTCCAGACAAGCATCAAGTAAGTATATTTTACATTTTCTGAAATTCTTCTATGCTTGTTTGACTTTAGTGTTTATGAATGAGATAAAAATGAAATTAAAAATACAGGGTAGCTTGAAGAAAAAACATCTTTATCTGATTTACTTTTAGGTCGCTTCTGTCTCAAGTGCCAAAGGAATATCTCCGTACATTGGTGGAAGAGGTGCGCAGCAGCACTAGTATAAGCTACACTACTAGTCATCAGGTACAAAGTATTTATTTCTGTATATACTTTTTTTTTTTAAGGGATGGGTATAGGATGATTTGTGAGGTTTTCTACAAACAAAAGTTATTCCCAAGTAGTGTGCACTAGCTGATATAACCCTCTTTTAATCATCTGGTTGAAAAAACTGTGATGTTGACTATTCTTTTTCCCATTTTGATATTTAAAAAAAAATCCAAGCTATTAGAGACTAGAACTGTGTACTGGCTGAACTTCACTAGCGGAAATGGACTATAAGTATTATTATGGTCCTCAGATGTTTGATTAAAAGTCTTCATAATTATAAAATGCTTCCATTACATCAGGGTGTAGACTGTATCCACGTAATAGATCCATGATTATGTATGGCAGATGATACAAGTGTTTTGAATGTTAAGAAGTTTTTATTTTTATTTTTTTTAAAGGTTTAGATTGCATTAATCCTTGTTTTTTTCTTTATTCATTCTTATTTCAGTATCACTTTTTGTTTGTATCAGGTGTTTCACATAACAATACTTAAATATTTTTATTTTGCATTTTTATTTCAAGATATATAATTTCCAGAGTGCTCTAACTCTTTATTTTTGTTCTTTGCTTTCATCATAACTTTTTGCAGAGCAGATTCAGATTTCCACTCAAAAATTATCGAAACTGATCAGGCTCATTTTGAAATGGAGTTCAACATGAGTTTTACAAATTAGTCCTTTAAAAAACCAACCAATATCAGTACCACTGTTTCATGCTAAAGAGCTTTATTCCCAAGGACAAGACGTCCAAGACTCCCACAAGGACAACTCAGCACCGTACGACTCTCAGTTATCTGTCTACTCAAAGGGTAAAACAAATAAGGAAATACAATGCCAGAGTGTGAAACATATGGCATGGAGAGCTTTTGATCTTCCTCAAGTTGCCTTCCATCCCTCCATCAGTTGTAGTGGTTATTAAATCTCAGAACTAAGTGTTATAACTAATATATATCTGTTATATGTGTATGGAGCTCTGAATATAAATGCAAGAGCTTACTGTAATTACTGTAAATACAGGTTTGTTGAAAAAAAGAAAGTTCCAAGTAGGAAATAATCTTAAAATTCTTACTTCAAGAAACCTATTTAATGGATCTCACTGTATCCATGATAAATCTTTCTGAACCTGTTTCCAAAAATGAAATACCTATTTAGTCTGTGTTTAGTTTATTTATGATGGTTATTTATAATATTCTAAACATTTCCAAGGGACCAAATGGCGTGTTGACAATTTCTTTCTGTTACAATTAATGCATGTATAAGATTTTTGGCTTAATTTTATAACCCTTGAATTTTATTTGAAACTAACATTGATGTTATGCTTAATGTTGCTGCTTAATTTTTATTTATTCGTTTGCTTAAGTATTTTTTATTAATTTATTTGTTTATTTATTAGTCAACAACATCTTTTCATGTCAGATTTTGAATTTGAAATAAGTAAAAAATTTTGCTACTCCAGTTTTTTTCTCTGGTGGACTTTTGACATAGAATATGTATTATAACAAAAAATTCAATTACCATATGAGGATATTGGGGAAGGACAATGTGTGATGAAGCACTGACTTACAGAATTAACCATAGTTGCAAAATAATGTAATTTGTAAGGATTACATTAAAAATCAAACCTGAACAGGAGTTAGGAAGTAAGAACAGTTTAAAAATGAACAAAAATATGTGGGATGACAGTGTTAAGTATGATAGCTGTTTAGAAGAAGAATTGTTTTTTTTCTTGCTGACTAAAGGTTTCAACCAACAGGTAGTCGAAGTGGTGCTGAATTCATTAGCTACAGCCTTACCTGTCCTCCAACCACTGTGCTTACACATCCTATCAAGCAAAGGAGGTAAGTCCCTTTTAACTTCAAATGCAGGGTTATATACATTGCTTTTTTTTAGCATAATGCATATATTTTAATGTTTTTATTATTTAAAAAGGATGCATAATTTATAAAGTGTACTTTTGTCATTCTTTTAGCTTACTCTGGTATATATCTCTTGGCTTACTTTTAGCTTTCACTCATATCTAAAGGCCTATTTTCAGTATACAAATTGCAAGATTTAATCTGTATCAGGATTACAATACATACTTTATTTTAGTTTGTTGTGTAAGAAGGAAATGAAGAGATATTTTAGGATCTTAAGGGCACATCAGAAGAAATTCTCTCGAAAAAGACTTAACTGCATGTCACTTATTTATGAAGTATGATAATCCCATATGTATTATACATAATTACTAGATCAAGTGGACGGAGGAGCTGACAAATGGCAGCAGAGTTCAGATGGACGACGCCTAGTGGAGCTCCTGGAAAAGCTACGAGAATGCAAGGATGACGAGCAGCAGCGTTCTTGGGCATTGCATGAAGATGAGCACACCATCACTACTCATCTATCCGATCTACTTGATTTGTTGGTGAGTTCAGAAGAATCTGGTCTCTGAGGTGTTGAAATAGTGTATGGAGGAGGTCTGAGTGCAGAGAGAAAAAAAAAAATCAGGTTATGGTCATGTTTAAAAAAGAAGAAGGAAATCAATGTCATTCAGTGTATTCACTGAGTAAGTAACAAGAAATTACCTCACCTATGCAAGAATTGGTCTTAGTAGGATATTTGACCATCAGATATAGCTATAATTCATTAATGTATTTTTAAAATTTCCAGTCCAATAACATCATATATAAAGATTTGAAAGAAATATCATCCCACTTTTCAGATGAAACTGTTTGAACATATTATTGATACCCACCTAAAAAGATAATTACAAGACACTAGCAAAACAATTTTATTAATAACTGTGACTTGAAAGCAAGATAGTGGAACGGAATAAACCTTTTCAGAACACAGGAGACCTGATGGTGTGTCGAAGTGTTTTGTCCCTGGATGATTTTAGACCTTTGTTGACTCTGGTACAGTACTACCAGATGGAAACAAGGTGGCCTCTTCGGAAACTCCTGCTGCAAGTAAGAATATTAGCTTGATGCTTGAAAGTAGTTAGGCTTGTATGGTATTGCTATTCCAGACTGGGTCAGCTTCACTCATGCTTTTAACACTTGCAAATGCTGTTGTGTAAGCAAGGAAAATTCTTTGTGCCTGACATCTTCACTCAGGTTAGCATATAAGATCATGTTTTCATTATGTTATAATGGCTGATAATAAAATGTGTTGTGGAATATAACACTTAGGTTTATTGTTGTTTGATGAAATGTGGTGTTATGCATATAGATTGTACTGTCTGTGTCTTTGTGAGAGATTAATTTCTGTGATACATCTTGTATTTTTTGTCCAATTTGTTAACTGTTTTAACAGTTCTCTCTCATGTGAAAGGTCTGAGTATCAAGTGCTTTTGGTGGACTGCTACAGTTTCATGTGAAGCTGATTTTAAATACATTGCAATATATGCTTTCAGGTCTTTGGTGCTGTATGTCAGATGTCGGCAGCAAATATTTCTTATCTCTCTGCTTCGGTGTTCCCAGTTGAACTTACAAGGTTAGCAGTCATTGCATGTAGTCATTCACACAGAGATGTTGGTAATGATTTTTTTTTTGTGTCCTTCATGAATTTGCACAGTAGAACAACCATACATGTTCATGATAACCTACTTGACTCGACTGCATTTTTGTAGTCAAGTTGGTAAGTGTCATTTAGACCATGGAAATGATGTGTGGATTATCAAGTTGTGTAGTAATCTCCAATTTTTATTTATTATTTTTTTTATTTTTTTATTTTTATTTTTATTTTTTTTTATTGTAATTTTTTGTAGTATCATTATTATTTTTGGCATTTACACAGTCACTCTTGAGATTAGGAATTGTGCCCTATCATGATTATTTTAAGGTATCATAAAGAATTGTCTTTTGTTTGAAAGGAGAAAGTCCAGAAACAATATTATTAGAGCATTCATTCTCAGATAATTTTCTGACAATGTTATACTGGGAAGTATTACATTTCTCACAATTATATTTTTATTTTTTCATAATGGCAGGGAACTGCTTGACAGCACATACGACCAGGAGCGGCTGAGGTATACTTCCTTGGTGCTCGGGATGGTGCTGTGTATGGGGGATACTCTACCGTATCCTCATTTCTGTAAGAAAGACAAGCAAGCCTCTAAGATAATTTTCCTTGTCTTCTTTTATTTCTTTCTTTTTTGGGGGGGGATGAATGAAATTTCTTTTTTCCTTTTCCTTTCTTATCTTATTTTCAAATATTTTGTCATATCAGAATGTACATATTTGTAAAGTAAACTAGATAACCAGTAGTATCCCTCTCCTATTTAAGAAAGTTTAAGAATATTTTCTCTGGCCTAGGTGTGATGAATGAAAACTTCATGAATGTACTGCTTGATGGAATAGAGCAGTACCATGAGGATCCTGACACAGAACAGCTGGCAGAGTTGTATCTAGCCATAGTTTTGGCCTTCAATCTCCAATATACAACGCTCCCGCCATCAGCAGTAAATCCGCCAAAATCTTGTGAGACCACAGAGGAAGGGGAAGGTGGAGTTAAAAGTCAGGCCAATGGAGACCTTGAGGAGAATAAGGATGCCACGAAAACTGCAATGGGAGCTGATTCCGAGAATATAATCATCAAGTTATTATCAAAGAGGGAAAATACAAAGTACTTCACAGAGAAGCTTCTGCTGTTGTTCAATAGAGAAGGTTTGTGTGGTAGATTTGGTATATTTTTAAATTCAGATCTTGCTAAGGTATGTTGAGTAAAATGTTTAAGAATGTTCTGAAACAGATTCATGGGGACGTAAGTCAAATCTCAATATAAGTCATCCTTATAACTTTTCTGACTTGCATGTATCTTACTGTCTCTGTAGAGGATCCATTAGCCATGTTCGACCACGAGCCTCGGCCACCTCATTCAGTATTGAAAATGATGAGAGATATGTATTCCACAAGGGCTACTGCTTCAATCTTCTACACAAATGATGAATGTGTTCTGTGTGATATTATCATAAGACAATTGTCGGACCTTCCTGCAGATGATAAGGTGAGTGTATGATGTGACATTGCACAGTGCACTTCTTTGCTTCCTTACAGTTCCTTGTCAACTTCATTTACATGTGAAGAAGCATGACAAAACAGAATTATAAATTAGAAAGTCATCAAATTTTATGAGATTTTCATTTTGAAGTCACTGCAACAAATATCAAAGAAAAAGGCTGAACATGTGAATTCTCAGCAGTGAAGTGTATCTTGATTGGTCTGTTATTTTATGTTAAAATTGCTCTCATATTCCTTTTCTCTTTCAGCGTCGGAATGAATACTTACATCTTATGGAGGGAGTCATAGTAGCAGGGAGATGGACAGAACACCAACACAGGCGTAAAGAATTGTGCTCCAGTTGTGCCAATATACTTGCTGAGGAGGAACCAGCAGCAGTAGATGATCAGAAGATCATCAGTTCCCTCATGGAAAGTCAGCCATACTTTTTTCATGTTTGAGTGATGTAAGTACATCAGTTATCTTGTTAGGAAGTGTTTCATAAATGTAAGCAGATTTCGTTATCATTTTCTGTAAATTTTCCCTCTCTTTTTTTCTATTTTCTTTCTTTTCTTTTTAAAAGAAAACCAAGTGGTTTGGATGACTTTTTGACCTCAAAAAAAAATATTTTGATTGTGATGTCCAGCCAAATAGTATACCAAGCTTTATATTTTGTAATCAACATAAAGAAAAATCTTCCATGAGAAATTATGTGCCAACTGTAGGATCCTGTACATTATACACTATTTGATGTATCCTAGGGCTTGAATGGGCATTAGTATAAAGTGTGATAGCCCAGTGACATGTGTGCAGCTTTTAGTATGAGGTCATGGAAGGGGTGAGAGTCACATAAGAGTAAGAACTTCAGCTAGAGATACCAGTTGAAAAAAGGACACCAGAGCCCATTTTGTAATTATTTTTGTTATTATTATCATTATTTTTAATATTATTACTATTTTTATTATCATTATTATTATTGTTATTATCATGTTTATAATGTTTAATTACCGTTACTGCTGGTAGTGTAATTGTTGATATTATTATTATTATTATTATTATTATTATTACCATTTGTAATGTACATATCAGAAAATAAGTTTCCATGTTGCCTAAGATTTTGAGAAAGAAGCCATGTCACCTGTCAAAGTGCATTTACAGTCATGTTTCATCATCATGGGCTCACAAGGCTTTTGTCAAATGCATTAATTCATCCTTGAACAGACAGCATACATGACGGTGTTTCCTGTTGTGGAATAAGTTAAGAGAAAGGTAGATATAAACTTATGAACTTGGTTTATTGTAAAATGTATGAATTTTACACAGTTCATAGAAGTATTGGAAATCATTTTCCTGAGGATTGGTATGAGATTGTTTGATTTTAGTTATTGGAGACCATGCATTATTATTCTCACTTGATTGAGTATTTTCTGTTTTTAGTTCCTTCATAAGGGCATTATGTAAGTTTACTGTATACCATTTGCTGAGAAGACAGCTGTGTTTGCAATACTCAAATCATAAATTAAGGTTTCCACTGAGGAAGTTTGACAAGGAAATTGGCAGCTGTGAGTTTTCTGCCGGGGAAATACACATAGAATTTTTTTTTTATGGTGTAGTGATTACATCATATATATATTATTTGATAGGGCAGGATAAGGACAAACTGAAGGAAATTAAGGTTGCTGATAGTTAAGTTGATTGATTGTTAGTCAAATTTGCCTTTGATATTTGGACTTCGAGATTTAAAGAATGATTAACAATTAATTGGTGATATAGAGCTAAGATATCAGTAATGACAGGCAAAACAGTTTACCCCCAAAATCTTAGTGGATGACAGAATGCCATTTATCTGTCTTTATTATGGGAGTGTAGCTATTGTTGTTAACCCTGTATGTACATTTTATTGATATATGCAATTTTTATAGCATGTGACATACAGTAAACTTTTTAGCACAGTTTGTTTTTTTGGTTGCATTAGTGGAAAATGATGTTGTTATGTGAACTGTGTATTTAATTGACTTAAATTGATTCCTGAATTTTGAATATTCAGAAAATGGCCATCATTTACAACTGAAGCTTTAACTTTATTTTCAAAATCCAGACAATATACTTAGAAATTAGAAGAATCATATGGATCAGTGCCTTTTATCATCAACATTTGTCAGCAGCTGATAAAAAGTCAAAGGCTGTTTCGATGAACTCAAAAACTATTTTTAAAAGATCTAAAGATAAGAGTTGCTTGCTGGATTCCTGCTCAGATGCAGTGTTCAAAACGTCTTCAAAAGCTTTTGCTGACAATCAGACATTTGGTGGATAAATGTTGGATATCTTTTTCTTTTCCCCTTTATAGGAACATATATATTTGTTAGATAGCTTTAGCAACTGTGGCTTTCTCCTTTGCATGAAATTATATATTTAGTTATAACCTGAGTTGCCATTTTTTTAGTAATAAACATGTTACCATATTTTTACAGGAACATTTAGGATAAATGTGGCTTAGTTGAGGATTTCAGAGTATTGTTATTACCAGTAGGCTTCTACTCATTTATTTATTTTTATTGTTTTGTTTTTAATTCTCATATCTGTTAGAGGTTGGCTATGCTTAGTGTTTAAATTTACTTTCGCAATAATTACTAAGAAAATCATAATACCTGGTGATTACAGAAATGGTGATTTTTTCACATAAAGACAAGGCTGGTTGTGCATGTACAAGCTCTGCATTTTTGTGATGTGATACTGAATAGCATTTTACAAAGACATTTCTGTGGAGGCATTTTGTAATTTACTTTTCATCTAGTTTGTTATGAGAGACTTTAGTGTCCATACAACTTAAAAAAAAGAAACATGGAAAGAAAAAAAAGACTGAAAAGTATTAGGCATGTTAAAAACTGTGATTGCAGTCTATACTTGTCTTTGATATTTAGATGATAAGCCAAAAAGAGAGTAAAAAATAAGAAATTAACCATATTCACCAGGGCAGCATTATTATAAACACAAATAAGGTGGCTGGTTTGGGGTCTCATGATTTAAGAGCATTATTGTTATTTTGGTTTTTCGTTATTATTAATTTTGTTGTTCCAAATGTTAAGATTCTGAGTTCTCTTATTTTAGTTTCCATACTCTTTTCTTTTTTATTTTGTTTAGTGAAAGTAGCATACTTTACTATAGTCATTTAGATATAGGCTATAAGCTTTACATTTAATTTAGGAATTAGTGCATGATTAAAGAAAAGACAACTCTAATTTAGGTCTGCGTTTTGATTTCTGTAATAAAGGATAAGTCTGCAATTTAGCATTTTCAGTTAATTTGGCAAGCAGTGAATCTCCAGACAATTTTTCTGAAGTAGTATCTAAAAACGTATTTATATTTATGCACCAAACTTTGGGAACAAAAATTGTTAGTAGTCAGATGTTGATACAATATTT